TGAGGCTAAACGTCTAATATGTAATGTGTTGGGAGGAGGGACTACTTCAGAAGCATTTTTGAAAACTCGCGCATGAAGCAAGCTCCTTTGTTGGGAGACTAAAAAGAACCGGTAGGAGAGAACGATTCGTCTCTGCAACAACCCCTCCAACTTGACGCAGACAAAAGAAATGCATTGGGGGAGTCATTGAGGCAGGCTAGATGTAGGCTGGGTATAGGCTACCCTAGCTCTGTGAGGAAGTAAGAAAATGGGATATAAGATCTATGAATGACCGCCACCTATATCTTCTTTTGTGAAAAAAAGAATATTTCAAGACATAGTATGCGTTTTATTACATTATAAATCAACGAAAGTAGACAGCACGGTGAAACTTAACACTTTTCAAACTAGAATTAATTTGTAATTCTGTTGATTGAATTCGAGCTAATTCTGTAACTGAAATTTAGTTAAGTTAAGAGAACCAAAGTTTTCATGATAATAAAGTGGAGTCGAGATAGATCCATTCTATGAAACTATGAGTCTTATGAGGGGCAAGTGACCTGGCTGTAAATATTATGATAAGTCTGTTCACCTTTGTTAACACGCCTTCTTTGTAATACATAATGTACCCCGTTAACGACGTGACGCAGAATGGTAAGTGCCCACCCCCTCTCTCTCTCTCTCTCTCTCTCTCTCTCTCTCTCTCTCTCTCTTTCCCCCCCCCCTCTCAATTTTTCTCTCTACCAGCAGACAAAATTTCTCAGTTTTAACTCAGCGCTGACATCTATTTTCCTATCTCCCCTCCTTCTTTTTTGTGTATGTTACCCTCTCGTAACACCTCTAGTCTTCGGCACTTGTACAACCTTATTGTGTTGCAAATGCTGTAAAACTCTTACAACAACTAAAAAAAACTGATGTTCATGTCTTCGAATATGGATACCTGTGCAAGGCTGTCATTCACGATGGGGAAATTCTTCACTTGGGCGAGGCTGTTGCTAAACTTGAGGACCTCCGCGGTGACGTCGGGGTCGGACTCTGGCTTGAGACAGACGAGAGCGCGAGTGTGACAGTTTCCACCTAACTCCTCCTGCAGAAGCTGGGTCAGCTTTGACTCACTGAGGAAATAATACGGGAGTTTTATTATCACTAGTGGAAAAAACACGTAACCCTATCCGTAGGTCGTGTTTTACTATCGTATCCATACGACCTGGTGAACTCTGTGCCACCACTTTCCAAAGAGGAAATCTACTCGTTAATCCGATCCGTACGCTTTGCATAGCAGTCTGTCAAAATGTTTTTTGAGAAATACTGAAAGTCTGAAAGAGATCTTCGCACTAGAAGTATTTTAAAATGTAAATAATACAACCCTGGGGGTACAAAATGACTCCAGAGCGTACGGATAGGATTAAAGACACATCAGAAACAAAGAATAGAGATGGCAGTTGAGAAAAAAATGAGAGACCGACCTTCCAGTCTAGCTCAGACCCAAACATCCCCTGCCCCCACTGCAACTGACTTTTCCGAGCAAAGATCGATCCGATCTGCCATCTCCGCACACACCCCATCCCTCCAGTGATACAAAGTCAAGATCACCTTCACCACCGAAGGACGAACATAAGTAAAAACTCTTACAACTTATATATGAATGGTAGTAATTATAAAATCCTGTCAGAAGAAATACTGATCACAGTCAATCAAAGACAGAAGTCAAGACCAGTATCCAGATGAAAGAGGAAGGCTGTAAAAATGATATATATATGTATTCATATTTAGATACATTTATTTCTATTCACTCACGTATATAGCAAGATGGATGGATGGATGGATGGATGAATGGAAAAATGGAAGGGAGGGTGGATGGATGGATGGATGGATGAATGGACAGATACACAAACGGGCGGGTGGATAGATGGATGGATGGACAAATAGATGGGATGGGATGGACAGATA